TTCGTTCTCACAAATGCCAACCCTACTCTACCAACACCTAAGGGCTCCTTTAGGACATCTAACCTACAGTAGGTGGGCTAACTCATGAAATGTCAACCGATATTCCGAAATGCGTTTTCGTTTCGAAAATATTAATTAGGTAGGATTGTAAAATTAATCATCAAGCAGCATAATGTTATAATAATTCAGTTACGTCTAAGTGCCGGCTTTCGAACGAACTCCTCCCTGTTTGCATGCAAAAACTATACTCTGTAAAAAATGGCGGCTTAAGTAGCACAAATTTTTCTCACTGATTTTCGGTGCCCCTAAAAATCCATGGAAAACATGCATAAAAATATTCATTCTTTAGTTCATTCGGTAGATAATGACGTATTCTTCCAAGCTTATACTTGAAGGAAGGTTTTAAAAAGTTTTCCAATTCCCGAATAATTTTAAACCCGCTCTACCGTCACACTTGGATTCAGGGTTTGCAAACTACAAGCCGTATATTTTTCGCGTAAGGAAAACCACACATTTCTCTACGGTATTAAGGGGGACCATATAAGGTTCATAAAATGTGTCAATGGATTTGACCCTTATTGTTAACTTTACAAGTCACATTGGGTAATGCAGAGATATGACGATTTATGAACGGCCATTTCATGGTATTTAAAAGTCCCACAGTTAGAAACTTTTTAAAACCGAATTATGTCCCTCATTCGAGTATAAAATTAGAAGACATACTTGTCTACCGAATGAGCGAAAGAATGAATATTTTTATGCATGTTTTCCATGAAATATAATTGGACTTTTAGGGGCATCGAAAATCAGAAGAAGAGATGGCGGGCATGCGTAGCTTTCGATAAATTATCGTCGAGCCAGTACAATTATATGGGAAGGGGGTAGAAGTAAGACACGTCAGTGATAAGATAAATCGATAAATCGATGAGAAAAATTCATGCTACATAGGTAGTCATTTTCTATAGAGTTTAGTTTTTGCATGCAGCCGGAAGGAAGTTCATTCAAAAGCCGGTATCCTGAGGTAACTGAAATATTATAGAATCCCGTTGCGGGCTGACTAGTTTTACAACCCTATTAAATTAATCTTTCGGTTAACGTTTCATGAGTTAGCCCACCTACAGTAGTTACGCTCACAAATGACAACAAGTGGAACGGCGGTCGTTGTGCCTTTAACGTCAACGGCCCCGATCCTGAGAATTATTTGCCAAGTTGGGATTGGATTTAGGATAATGCGGTTAAATTAAAGCTAAACATCCGGTTTAAGAGTTAGGCTCTCAGTGTCGTACTTTTGTGAGTATGTGTCCTCTCAAGTTTCAGAAGCGTTGGTGAACAGTTTCTGTTGAGGTTACGCAAGTTTATAGGGCAACGGTATAGAGGAGGACCCCACTTACCTGTCAGTAGGCTGTGGATCGTGTCATATGGGGCTTTATCTTGGCATACATCTGCAGGCTGTTGCAAAAATTACGCTGCCAACAACGATTACTTCCCAGGAATTCAAACCTTAACTCAAAATGCGTTAATTTACGAATTTTACTCCTTGTTTATTGTTTAATTACCACTCTAATTTCCGCTGTCGTACAATAGCGTAGAATAAGATTTTCGGCATAAATTCAGGCAATTTTTGTGTTTCCTGTCATTTTGCTAGCTTACTGTCTAGCGTGCTGCCCCGCCAACAAAACTCCCTTTGCCATAAATCACTTATAACACGATCCACAGTCTACGGACAGTTAGGTGGGGTCCTTCTCTATACCGTTGCCGTTTGTTTGACTTGTGGTTGTCTGTCCTGCATTGTAATGCAGAAATCTTGCGGCCGAGTTCACAGTGCTGATGCAGGGGTTGATTATGGTAGCGGTAATGACAGTTTTTCTGGGTGACAGGGCGGCGCGAGCGGTAGCGGTCGTAGCTGTCGGCACGGGACTTGTGATGTTGGTGGCGGAGCTGATAGTGGGCGTTCATCAAGCGGTGGCTGAGAAGATCTCCATGTGAACAAACTCACTTCTTTGACTTCTGCGACCTTTTCTTGTTGTGATTCAGACTACAACTCTTAAGGGCAGGAATGATCGTCGTTTGTACCGATAAAAGATCGGTTCTTTGCCGTCGTCTATAAGCCTGCTTTGTGAAAGCACTTCTAACATTTAATTTTCCGGAGAAAACAAGACGTCTCGCGGAACAATTTTGTCAGATTACTTTTTGCCAGTTACTCTTAGTTCTGATTTACATATGCAAATGTTACTTAGTTGGAAAACAGGGAAACGACCCCATCAACAACAGTTCTGCATGCAACAGGCGAAATCCCGTTGTTTGCTTTTTACCAGTCGCTGAAATACTAATATGGATAGCTCCGTCCTCATGCGCCCTGGACGTCGGACAACAAATAAACTGTCAGCAGTAATGCTGCCACTAATAGCAAATGGAAGGTTGCCAACTGAAGATTCGATTCAAACCTCGTAGTCAGCCGAGTGTGTTTGTGTGGAGTGGTCGACTGGTGGACTGAAGGTCAGAATGCAATGACTCCTTCTTGATTTGGCCTCCACGGTACTCGCATACGTGTGAGATCAGAACCACCCACACATTTTGCATGAAACCTCATTCGCGTCGTACGTGTGTGTGGGGCCAGGCCGCGTATGTGGCACGCGCAAGCGAGCTCTCCAACTTTGCCGGACACTGTGTCTAATCCCTGCATCAGACAACTGGCTGGCTCGAACAGTGGACTGATGCTCGGAAATGGGAATGGTGAGGGCGGCCGGATTTCTCAGGGCATGTTCTTCATTATAAAGGTCTGACACGTTTGAATCTATCACGATGAGCTAAAAACCGTGCCTTGGAATACTGCCAACTTGGACCTCGCAGTCAGCCCATTGTGTGTTTGAGTGGAGTGGCCGACTGAGAGCCAGTCTCAAATGGCTTCTTCTTAAGGTGGCCTCTATGCCGCTCCCAATCAGTGAGATCCTAGCCGATATGGTGGCACGTTTAGGCACCGGTTTTCGATGCGCCAGCCACCCGCGCTGCTTATGCTCCTCGTTTCGCCTTTTCCCAGCATCTATTCCTTCACTTGCTCTTATGGAGCAGGTTATATTGGTCGTACGAGTCGGCGCTTATCCAAGAGAATACGGGAACACCTCCCGGCATGGCTGGGAAAAGGCGAAACTAGGAGCATAAGCAGTGCCATTCTCGCGCATGTTGTCCATTCCGGACATCGTGTGGACCCCAACGAAGCTTTTCGTGTGATTTATAAGGTCCCATCGAGCTACCCATTAGGTTACGAAAGCCAATCTTATGCGCACAGAAGAACCACGTTCAGGCTCCGCGCTTACAGTGGTCGACGGTCGACTAACGCTGCAACTCTCCCCGCGCACTTCCGCTTTCACCCCACCCCTGACACTGACTGCTATTACCCCCCTCCCCCCCTCTCCCTCACATTCTCACACCCCACCTGTATTTAAAGGCGAACTTTTGTCGATTTCTCTTATCGCTGACATGTTTTACTTCTACCCCGTTCCTATATCGAAAGCTACTTATGCTCGCCACCTCGTATTCTGATTACTGCTATGGAAACTGACATTAGTAGTAAATGAGACATTCATTATTTACTCAGTATGAAAGTACTCTTAGGTGTACTAAACAAAGCAGTTTTACTAATTTATTTACATGCACTACTATGGGGACTGTTGTTGCCAGGACTCTTCCCATTATCTGTGTAAACGTAGACATTTCTGGGGTATTCTTTCGAATACCGCATTGTGCTGAGTTTAGTCTTACAGTAGTACAGTTGACATTGATTTTTCTACCAGCGGTAATAACAAACCCAATTATTAAATTACCGTTACGGCAGGAGCATAAATAGTCCTACTAGTAGTAGCACCGTCGGTAATGGTGACAATAATGGTACAGAGAATTAAACAGCAACACTGCATAATAGTGTGGGTTATTCCGATATTTAAGGACTACGGGTATCAACTACTATCCCACGAGGTGGGTGCGGCGATGTCTGGCTCGTAAATGCACAGAGAATCAGACATATAACATTAGTTTTATTCATAAGTGTCCAGAAGGTACAATACGTACTTGTATGCATCTACCCCTCTCCCTTCCTTGCTCTCTCGGGCTTATCCACCATTTTGCGGTGACAGTAAATGTGATGATGCCCGTAAGTGGGCATAGTCACGGCTACTAGACACTTCGTCAATTGGTGTCGCCCACTACCTGGTCTCTACCTCCATATGCATCCGGTTTCCTCCTCGGCAGTTAATGAATATTACGCGCTTACCCGCTGTGGCTGATTCACTTCGACCCAAATATTCATACAAAAAATCCCCGTCTGAGCATATAAACCTTGAATAAACTGATACACTCCAAGTTCGTAGTTAATTTCTGAGGAAATTAAAAACGATAATTTCTAAATTGGAGTATCCAACATAAAATAGAGGAGGAACGCTAGGGGACCCACTGACGAGCCGAACCCCTCGTAGCTGCGCCATGCAGCGGCAGAATATCGGCGAAACACGTGTGTATGGGCTTTTGGTTAGTACCTGCGCTGTGAGTATGGTATCACCTTACGCTGGAGTTACTACTATCAGTCACAGTACTTAAAATTGCGGCAGGGGTCTTGCAGTGGGGGTCGAATAATGGTCATTTCTGTGACGGAACTAGTCGTACTACAGTCATACAAGTGGAAACGCTACATGCATCGGTTTTAGGTCATCAGATACGTGTGCACTGTCACTTGATTAATTCTCACCTAGACATATGCGTTAACCTTCCCCGAGGGAAGCACCTACGCCGTCGGAAACGGCGGCTTATGGCGAATTCGAGTCACTCTATACTACAAAAAGAAGTCGTGGCCCCATAGTGGAGTTCGGCCGTGCCACAACGGCACATGGCAGACCTATTCAGGGGTGGCACTGCCAGCTCCCACGAGGGGAAGGGCCTAGAAAAGGTGGCCTAAACATTGCTGGACACCACGCCGTCTACCGGCTAGTCAGGGCCGCAGACGTCTAAACATGGTCGAAACAAACAAAATCAAAACAACAACAATAACAACAACTATACTCATTTTCCTCATCCTAGCTCTTCTTCCTCTTCCTCCGCCTATACTTCTACCTATTCTTCTTCTTCGTCACCTTCTTCTCCACCTCCTTCCCGTCGCCCCACGCGTTGTCACCAGACTGGCAGGGTGAGTCCGCTCACTCTGGCAGACTGGGATGTTCGTTCCCCTTTAAACAATCCGAGGTCCAACCGACCGGAGCGGAGGACAGCTCTAGTGGCACGAGAACTGGCGCGCTACAAGGTGGACATCGCCGCACTCAGCGAGACCCGATTCTCCGAACAGGGACAACTGGAAGAGGTGGATGCCGGTTACACCTTCTACTGGAGTGGTCGGCCCAGGGCAGAGCGATGAGACGCGGGTGTCGCCTTCGCTATCCGGTACGGCATCGTGGAACGACTGCCCTGTTTGCCGTAGGGCATCAACGATCGCCTGATGAGCCTCCGTCTGCCTCTCCGGGGTGGGGGCAAATTCGCCACCATCATCAGCGCCTACGCTCCGCCGATGAGTAGTCCCGACGCCGCCGCAAGAGACAAATTCTACGAGGACCTACACGCACTCCTGGCGGCTGTGCCGAAGGCGGACAAGTTGGTTGTCCTTGGCGACTTCAACGCCCGCGTCGGCACAGACCATACTGCCTGGAGAGGAGTGCTGGGTCCCCATGGTCTCCGCTGCTCAAACGACAATAGTCTGCTGCTCCTCCGAACCTGCGCAGAACACCGCTTCATCCTGACGAACACCTTCTTCTGTCTACTGGAGCGAGAGAAGGCCACCTGGAGGCATCCTCAGTCGCGTCATTGGCACCTACTGGACTGTATCCACGTCCGTAGGCGAGATCAGCGGGACGTGCTGGTGACAAAGGCGATCGCGGGTGCTGACGGGTGGACTGACCATTGCCTCGTCATCTCGAAGATGCGTATTCGCCTACAGCCTCACAGGAGACCACAAGGTAAGCGACCCCCAGGTCAGCTGAATATTGCCTTTTTATCTTTGCCAGCTCACCATCTCCATTACAGCAATGAGCTAGCTCAATGGCTAGACAACCTTTCTATCGCTGCCGCCACCGACGCCGCCGCCGCTACCTCCGTGGAGAACCGCTAGTGTCAACTGCGAGACACGGTCCAGTCGACGGCGCTAGCCGTTTTTGGTCGAGCACGCCGCCAACACCAGGACTGGTTCGACGACAACGACGCCACCATCAGAAATCTGCTAGCTGAGAAGAACCGCCTACACAAAGCCTACGTAGACCACCCCACCGACGACAACATGCTGCTCTCTACCGTAGTCGCCGCCACCTTCAGGAACGACTGCGCGAAATGCAGGACGCCTGGACTGCTCACAAAGCTGAGGAGATCCAAGGCTACGCGGACCGCAACGAATGGAAGAACTTCTTCTCCGCGATCAAAGCTGTCTACGGTCCGCCGACGAAGGGCACCGCTCCTCCCCTCATCGCCGACGGTGGCACCCTCCTGACTGATGAGACAGAAATCCTACAGCGATGGGCCGAGCATTTCTGAGGCGTCCTCAACCGCCCCTCCACCATCTCCGACGCTGCCATCGACCGTTTGCCGCAAGTGGAGACCAACGTGGACCTCGACCTCCCGCCATCTCTCCAGGAAACCATCAGGGCCGTGCAGCAACTCTCCAGCGGGAAAGCACCCGGATCGGACGCAATCCCTGCCGAGGTCTACAAGCACGGTGGTCCCCAACTCATGGACCACCTGACTGCGCTCTTCCAGGAGATGTGGCGCCAAGATGAAGTCCCGCAAGATTTCAAGGACGCAACCATCGTGCATCTCTACAAGCGCAAAGGGAATCGCCAAGTCTGCGACAACCACCGCGGCATCTCTCTGCTGAACATTGCCGGGAAGATCTTCGCTGGCATCCTCCTCAATCGTCTGAATAATCATCTGAAACAGGGCCTTCTGCCGGGAAGTCAATGCGGCTTCCGTCGTCATCGTGGGACCACGGATATGATCTTCGCCGCCCGTCAACTTCAGGAGAAGTGCCAGGAGATGCGGACCCACCTGCACTCTACCTTCGTGGACCTGACGAAAGACTTCGACACGGTGAATCGTGAAGGAATGTGGAAGATCATACAGAAATTCGGCTGTCCGGAGCGATTCATTCAGACGGTGCGTCAGTTGCACGACGGTATGATAGCGCGAGTCACGGACAACGGAGCTGCCTCAGAGGCATTCGCAGTGACCAACGGAGTGAAGCAGGGATGCGTGTTGGTGCCCACCCTCTTCAGTCTTATGTCCTCTGCCATGCTGATGGACGCCTGCCGTGATGAACGCCCCGGGATCCGCATCGCCTACGGGATGGACGGTCACCTTCTGAATCAACGACAGATGCACTTCCAATCGCGCGTTTCCACAACCACCGTTCAAGAACTCCTCTTCGCCGACGACTGCGCCCTGAACACCACCTCGGAAGAGGAGATGCAACGGAGCATGGACCTGTTCTCCGCTGCCTGCGAGAACTTCGGTCTGGTCATTAACACGCAGCAGACGGTGGTGATGCACCAGCCGCCACCCAACTCAGTCACAGCCCCCAACGCGCCGCCGCAAATCAGCGTGAATGAGACCCAACTGCAAGTGGTGGAGAACTTCCCGTACCTGGGCAGTACCCTCTCCCGTAACACCAAGATCGATGACGAAGTTGCTAACAGGATCTCGAAAGCCAGTCAAGCCATCGGTCGCCTCCAAAGCACAGTTTGGAATCGGCACGGTCTTCAGCTGAGCATGAAGCTGAAGATGTACAAGGCCGTCATCCTTCCGACGCTACTGTATGGAGCGGAGACTTGGGTGGTGTTCACAAAGCATGCACGCCGTCTGAACCACTTCCACCTCAGTTGTCTTCGTCGCATCCTGAGGCTGAACTGGCAGGATCGCATCCCCGACACTGATGTGCTGGAACGGACGGGAATCCTCAGCATCTATACCATGCTGAGACAAATGTAGCTGCGCTGGAGCAGCCACCTGATGAGCATGGGCGACGAGAGACTACCCAAACGACTCTTCTACGGAGACGTCGCGACAGGTTCTCACCGTCCAGGAGGCCAAATTCGCCGTTACAAGGATACCCTGAAGTCCTCCCTGAAGTGCCTGCAAATCAACCCGACCAACTGGTAAGAGCTCGCCCGCGATCGACCGACCTGGAGGAGGACAGTGAAGACAGGCGCTGCGATCTACGAAGCCAACCGCATCTCCGCCGCCAAAGTCAAACGTGAAGCCCGTAAGTCCCAGCTGCGCCCGCCTCACATTACCAACGCACAACTGCCTCCAACGTGTCCTCGATGTCAACGGACATTCCGGGCTCGAATCTGACTTGTTGGACATCTTCGGATTAACTGCGTCGACCGGACCGCACCAACGGCCGTCAGTCCGCCTAACGCCTCCTCGTCCTCCACGACATCAAATGACACTGACGGCCCTCTTAAACCACCACTTTCATACTCCTTCTCCCTCTCCTCCTCCTCCTCCTCCTCCTCCTCCTCCTCCTCCTCCCCTTCCTCTGCTACTCAAACGCCTGCCGCTGTGGCGTCTGCCACGCGCATCAACACCGCACACAATCCTTCCACATTCTCAACCATCAACATCACAGCCGTAGACACCAGGACTAAACCTGCCCTAACTGCGATCGCACCTCCACCTCACACATCGGCCTGGTCGGTCACTTGCGAATCCATCGCACAGAGGCTGGCGAACAAGTGCCTGGAGCACCAACCTACACCCACCGCACTCGCCTCCACTGCCCACACTGCCCTCGCACCTTCACGCACCGCATGGGTCTATTCGGCCACATGCGCATCCACGAGAGCGGAATTGACCACAATTCCGACACACCCACCACATCCAACACACCCACCACGCCCACCTCCACTCTCAGTTCGCCGCCCTGTGCGCCCATCATCAACATCATCATCATCATCATCATCATCATCATCATCATCATCATCATCATCATCATCATCATCATCATCATCATCATCATCATCATCATCATCATCATCATCATCATCATCATCATCATCATCATCATCATCATCATCATCATCATCACCTCCGTATCTGACACCGACACCGCCGACTTCTCAGGCCCACACTGTCCACGAAAATTCACCTCACGCATAGACCCGGCCGGTCACTTGCGAATCCATCGCACGGAGACTGGCGAACCAGTGCCTGGAGCACCAACCTACACCCACCAAGCTCGTCTCCACTGCCCACACTGCCCTCGCACCTTCAGGCATCGCATGGGCCTATTCGGCCGCATGCGCATCTACGTACACCTGCACCATAACATCACACATTCCCTCCCTCACCACTACCTCACCACAATAAACGTCACCCACTGCAAGCACCCAACTGCCACCTCCCACGCAAACGGGAAGTGTGCGTCTCGACTCGATCTCCGTGCGGTTGCTGTTGCACGGGTGACTCGAGTATGAGACTGTGCCTACGCAAAGCCTTTGGCAAGGCGCCCATAGACGTCTTTTAGTAAAATTGGAAGCTCTCGACCTCCGGTCGCCTCTACTCGACTTCATCAGGTCCTATCTGTCCAACCGATATCAGAAAGTCATGGTGGGTAAAAGCTACTCGGCACCTCACTCGATCACGAGTGGCGTACATCAAGGCACGGTTCTGGGTCCGCTACTCTTCCTTCTGTACATCAATGATATTTCGAATGGACTCGGAAATTCACAAACTTTAGTTTATGCCGATAATTTCATGTGTGTTAACTCATATTCTAGGGAAACCGCAAACGTTTTTTTTGAAAAAATTAATGTCGATTTACTACGTTTAAGCAGATGGGATTCAACATGGTTGATGGAGTTTGCATCATCCAAGTGTAGGTTCATGTCGTTTGGTCCTGCCAAACTGCTTGGTCCCATAATTTTTCAGGATAACTCACTCTCAGAATGCCTCACCATAAAGTTATACAAATAAGCTTGCTTTATCACCTCATGCAGCTAGAATCTCTGTCAAAGCCGCGCAGATATATGGATTCATATCGCATAATTTTTTCCTTCCTGAAGTGAAACTAAACCCTTATCAAATATTTGTTCTTCCAGTCCTCGAATACTGCTGTCCTTTCTTCGGTTTAATGAACGCCTGCGACCGTAGTAAAATCGAAAATGTTCAGAGGGTTTTCACCCGGAAACTGTTCTCTCAAGCTTCGTCCAGTATTTCTTATACTCAGAGATGTCAGCTGGCGAACATTGAGTTTTTGTGGGTTAGAAGACCCGAAGCTGGCCTTTGCTTCCTTTTTCGCATCAACTCTAGCTCCAGTCTTCCGCACATTGACACTCTCACTCCCAGAGATCGGTCTTATGCCACGCGCAACTCCTGCATGGTGATTCCGCCGCCTCTTTGTACTACATCTAAGCGCTCCCTCTTCTTTGCTTCCAAATATGCCTTCCTTTGGAATAATCTTCCGCCTGAAATTAGATTATCGCCTAAGTTACTGGTATTCAAGTCGAAATTACGCAAACATCTTACACCGGAAGGCATAAAGGCACTGTTAACGGTCTCATTCCCGAACACTCAGATTCTTGAATTCGAGAAGGGTCCTCCTGGGATTTAGTGGTAGATCAAGGGGAAACATTCACTTATATCATAAGAAACCCTGTTCTTAATTTGTTTCTAAATCCACTGTTATCACTCCTACCCCATAGTCACGATTTTCACAGTTCTTGATGTCATCTCCCGCATTCCGACCTCCTGCGGTCTGTCGACGCTCACGGCGGAACCCTCAGTCTTCGCCGTATACTAGTAGTTTGGTCGTACCTCCCTTCCCCCCTTCTCGGCTGAGCTCGAAGTGGACTGTGGTCGAGCGCGTCTGGGTTCCTATCGTCTGGCCTCTTTGACGCGAGTAATCGCATCCAGCGAATCAATCTCGCCCTGACGATGTCAATCCCGAATCCCATATACAATACCATATGCAGGCCAGTCCTGTCTGACCCGCATACGTACCCCTCGAGGCTGACATCTATTTCTGCCCTGACGATGTCCGATTATAATCCGTTATATACCGCCACATACAGGCCAGCCCTGCCCGCATTTGTTGTTATTATTTTTTATCGAGGGGTTTTTTCTGCTGTAAAATTAATCCAATCATTTTTTAATTTTTGAGTGGTTTTTTTTCACCGCCCGCTCACCTTTTTTCTTAACGGACTACTAATTCAGAAACTATGAATTGCACTTTGTACAGTTTATGCCTACCTCGTCTAAAATTCGCATGTAAACTTATTTTTCCTTGCTTCAGTTCAGTTTATTGAGGGAAAGAGGCGGGAAATAGGACGGGTCTTTAATAAAAATTATTATTAACGCGTGTATTAAACGGACAAGAAGATAAGACATCAGCGTATGGGCAAGAGTCCGCATATCTTCAGTTTTCTCCTGGGCACTCTGGTAAACAACCAAATTACCGTAGAAATGTTCTAGTACTTCCTGAGTCAAACCATCGCCGGCTATGTGAATGAGTCACCTATGAGTCACCTTCTAATGGAAATCGGGCTTTCATCTTCGAGTTCCCTATTCATATCCGAGAAAATAGCAGCATCAATTTTTACAGAGGTAATTACGGAAAGCGTAGTGCGTCAGCATGCATGAACAGGCGCAAACTGTCACCATTGACGCAATCTTTATTGGATGCATCACACTCACTCAACGAATGAGTATCTTGTCTGTATTTTGATGTTTAAGCAGTTCTTAAAAGCGCTGCCGTAACAGGAAGTCCGCTCCATGGCCAAAGACCCTATGCAAGAAAACGTTCTATCGGAAATTGCTACGAAAAAGCTTACTGCTCAGTTTGAAGAGATGGCCACGCAGACGGTCCGTCCCAGCCAATTCGAGGAAGTCCTCAGGCCTTAGAGCACAGTCACGGTCTCATGTAATCCGGTAGCTTCAAATGGCGTCACCACGCAGTTGTTTGCATTTGAGAGAAAGAACAGAGTTCGCCCATTCTGGCTTCAGAAGGCGGATGAACAAGATCCTTGACCATCTTCGAAGCCCTCGCCTGCACTTGTTCCAGCCGTCAATAATACGCCTTAAACCGCACGAACCGAACGAATGATCCAAAGGCCTTTCAAAACAGCTCCTTATCTATCTACACAAATTCTTGTCCCTGGGCAAACAACGTCTGCGTCGCGCGTTCAGTCGCCTTTAGACACTGTGATGATTGTTTAAGAGAGAAGGTTATTCGGACGCCGATGTCTTTCAGTTCCTCAACTTTTGAAAGGGACTGCCCATCAAGGAGATATCGGAGGGAATCACCTTCCTCACTGGTGCTTGTGGTACAGAGTCTTAATACCAAACATGTACTAACGTTAATATTTAGAACCCTTTGCTCTACTGCATGCAGCCCAGTCCTATCTGACCCGCATACTTAATCCTTAATGAAATCCGCTATACACTGCTACATGAAGGCCGGTCCTGCCTGCTTTTTATCCTCTCATGAGCGACACTTTTTCTTCTATGATGTTAATCCGATCATATTCATTTTCTCTTTTCGAAAGGGGGTTTTTTCACTGCTAGCTCGTTATTCTTCGTAACAGATTACTTTTTCAATTATCTATAAATGAAGTGCTGTATAGATTCTGTCAACCTGTTCTAAAATTCATACAAAAATTTATTCTTACTTGCTATGACCGGACCCCCACGGGTATTAAAAAAATTATTTATTTATTATTTAAGTCTACGAGCAGATTAGTTGCTGAGTTGATTTAGACTCTCTTGACGTTTGTGCCCATTTTCGTTAGACCAAATGTCTCTACAGAATTTGACGTCGTCAGGAGACATGACGACGCTTCTATCAGAGTCGTCGACACAGTTGTTGCTATAGACTAGAAATAGAAACGGTCCGCGAATTGAACCCTGGTGTACACCACCTAAAAATGGGGTAAGAGGATGATTCCGAACCATTAACTCATAGGGGTTGCGACCGCTTTTTAAAAAACTCTACGATCCATGCTCGCAGCATGCCTCTTGTTGCAGTTTCAGATAATCTGTAAATTCGGCACTTGCGTGGAGCACTGCCTAACGCCTTCCTGGAGTCACTGTAGATGACGTCAATCCTACCTGCCTCCTCGTCCGGTACACGAGCCCACTGCTCAGTAGAGGGCAAAATGCTAGAAAATCAAGAACGGCTCTGCTTGGACCCGTGCTGGAGCCCTAAGATTAAGGGACCCTCCTCCACGAAATCCATTTCTACTTTCTTAAGTACAATTTACGTTTCTTTGAAACATATGCAGACTAGACTTTTGTATATCGAGTAGATATTTGCTGTCTTCCATTAGGGTGGCAGTTGCTCCAGTTCGAGTGAAGAATGAAGGACACACGCCAGTGGTTCGGAGAATTTCTTTGCCGCTTCTTTCAAGACCTTCAGCTCTATCTTGTCCAGACTCGATGACGTAGTTTCTTTGAGATTCTGCAGATTTCCTTCTACACTATCTGTGAAAAAATTACTAATTCATATAAAGGGCCAGTGTTTTAAATGGGACTGTTTGCATCGCGAATACAAAACGAAACTGTTAATGGTGTCAGTTTGCGCCTGCCCCACATTTACCGGCCATTTTTGAATCGCCGGATTTACTGATTTAACAATTTATTATATTGCAATTTATCGATATGGATAGGGAGCTCAAAGGCGGAAGCCTAATACCCTTGATAAACTAACTTAAACTGACTATACTCTCCTAAATTGTGAAACCCTAGCACGCGACACTTACTCGTCATTGGTTAGATTATTTACACGCTCTGTCACTTCTCAGTCGATCGACTCAAGCAAAGATTTTAGTGAATAATGCCGTACATGTTCTCTTGCATCGATAATGCCCTCACGAAAACTAAATTTAACAAGAATATCAGAAGGATTGATGAAAGATGATCGTGGAGGAACTAGCAAGTTGTCCCATTTAAAATAACTGAGGCTACTGTGGCGGTTAGGTGGATTTATAAAACGATGATATCTTGATGGGGAAAACATTTCTCCAGGAATTTAGGGATGAAAATGAATATTTGTTCGGCGGCAGAAGAGTTGAAGTCAAAATTCGTGCCAACAGAGCCTCATGCCGGACCAGAACAAGGTGACCAATGTAGTGCATCGGAGTTGGCACATTTAGAACTTAAACTGGGTACTAACGGTGAAGACTAGAGAAGGACATTGAGCACGAGGGTTTTTACAATATTTGACAATGAGCTTGTCCCAAGGCACAAGGAACACTAGCCGACTCACGTGTAGAAGGAGGTGCAGCCATTAAACAGCGACGAGGGACCTAACACGCAAAAGAATTCGTGGATGAACCAGTGCCGGATGGTGGTTCATGGACTCTATCACAGACCTTGTTATATAAAATTGATTTTTAGCTCCCTATAAATCATCAGTAATTTCCTTATTCACATGAAAGACAGCCTCGAACGCAGAAGCATTATGGGCGAAACATTCAGAACTAAAAATTGATCATTTAATTCAGAAAGTTGGACAACACTCACTTTATCGAAGATCATCGATGAATCTTTTAAAATCTGTCCGTGGCTTCGTTTTCAAGCTGATTCTCTGAAAAGGGGTCAAAAGACCCCGATGTCTGTGAGTCCCCCAGCAATTTCTACGTATTAACTCTGGCTTCAGACTGATGCCTCGATGAAGACCTGACAAGCGATTGGATGAATGGGAGTTTGCGGTTCGGTGTACGGTATGTCGAGGTATGAGTCGGCCTGTTCATCCGTTTTTACCTAAAATCAAACCTTTGATTTATTCCATATTTTTACGGCAGAGTGCGGGTGGATATTTCCGCGATCTATTTTTTTAACTTTGCCTGTTTACCAGCAGACCTGCCGGAGGCATCTCGTAGTTTTGGGAAACTGCATTAATGAAATAGCTGCGATAGCAGCAAGCCTTTATAAAGGCTTGCGGACTTGTAGACCACGCTGAAAGAAGGCGCTTGTTCACTTGAAAAATTTCCGTGAGCTCACCATGATTTTGAGAAAGAGAGGCCCACAACAATAATAGCACGCATATGCATGGTGGAACATGTATCGGTCAGGATGCCGGCCTATGCTTTTCGTACGAAGGTAGCACCATGACGACATAAGCTTTGGTGGCTTATACCGCAAGCCATGACAATTTCACCTACCCGTCGTTGTGTTGTCCAACTCCGTTTACACTTTTCCCACTGCGTTAGTAGAAAACCAGCAATTATTGGCACATGAAATCTTTATTACGTCTGTAAACGTATATCTATCTCAGGCACCTCTAAGTGACTACAGACTAGGGTTAAACCGTACAAGCAGCAACTACGTTGGGTAATGTAAATGTGCGTGTAGGTGGGCAATTGGGTGGGAATTTGTCAACTTCCGGTGGCGTTTAGTAGGTGTGTCTTCCGTAATTTTATCACTTTACGGTTCACCGGTAGCGTGTTTCTGGGTCACGATACTTTGCATTCCACACGAAGAACACCTCTGAACTTAGGAACCATGTTCGTGAACAGCTTATTCGTGGAATTGCGTACCTTCTCGAAGTTGAGGTTGTCTATCGGCTAAGTCCTCTAGGTTTGGGCGCTGCGAGCGGACAACAGTTACCTTCCGTAGTTGTAAACCGCCGTTGCATCGCCTTTTCTTTTGCATGATCGATAGCTGCCGGCTCATTTTCCGTAGACTACTTGTTTATATTCGATTTTATTTATGCGCTCACTGATTACTATCTACTTGAATGACTTGCAATTACCTCGACAACAATGGTATTCGCCTTGTGGTTGCAATTAATATATTTAACTTTATAAGCTGCCTTTATCAACACTTAGCTGTGAGAGCGGCATTGGATATGCGAAGAGGTTGCAAATTTCTGTGGGAACCTAGAAATAACATCAGTATCGCAAGTCATGATCGGGCACATATTTTTCCGGGTCGGAATATTTTATTGTTGTAAGGGATGAATTTTAAGAGGACTTAATTTCCTTCAACAAGACCTTCAGAAGCTAACAATAAACACTTTCGTGCGTGTAAGTGAACTACGAAAACATATGGCGTTTAACCGACTACTTTTCCCAGTAGGATAGTTATAAGTGACCGGGACGGCAGTCACTATAACTACCTTGCGTATTCGAAAGGTAGGTGACCGTTTTGACACCGGAAGCACTTATAAAACAGTGCCAGGTGCAGTTTGGCCTAAATATACATTCCAATCAGCTCATTCTGTATCCAACCATTGCCATGCTCTTGGATCCCTAACTTCAAAGTGTGACACACCCGTTCCACACAGGTAATGAGTCCGACATCGAAAATCATCGTACTTTCTGGCAAACAGGAAAAATCTACATAAGTGCCATTCTGCGACCCTACATCCTCTAAAGTAGAATTAAGACTAGGCCGATATACTATCCATGCTTGTTGTCACAACCATCACCGACTACTCTAGATTCATCGGGCTCGTTTTGGTGCTTGTACGCTTGAAAGTACTCGGCCAAACACATTTCCTTGGGCAGAAACGCCCAGACATCGAACAATCTCGTTATGCTCCGTCAGTTAGTGGACACGTTTTCGGGCTTTGCAACTTAGCCGTATACGACCAGTCAAAGATCCGAACTTTACAAGCGTGTAATTTGGCATATTAGGCAGCGTTTCAGCTTTTCGAGAATAACCGCGCCCTGTCAGTAAAGACGACCCTCATAAATCAACAAGGAATTTCAGTCATATTGCCTATGCCGACACTAAATTTGTGAGCTTACTGATTCTTGGGACAGCAAGCACCATAAGGAACATAGCGGTGTTCACCATCTCCAACTTTGCACCATAATCATGCCCGACCGGATCAGAATTCCATCTTATTGCATGAATAGTCATTCCTTACCAGAAAGCACCTCTTACAGGCATCGGACACTTGCACGATCACGGCTCGAGCATCTGGTTACATTACTTTCGGTGCTTTAACTCATGGTTTTGGGCCAAAGGGATTAATCCGTTTATGGCCAAATGCAACTGTTAGCGGTCAGACTTACTTTCTTTGCTTTCCGCTTTAAAATATTAGGTCACACGCCGAAAATGCTTATAGAAGCAATGCTGTGACAGAAAATTTTTCGCACCCAGCCACGTGGGTGGACGTTCTGCCAGTTAAACTTGGGCCTTTTGCCCGCATCGCACAAATTTACATCCATTCTGCGGGAGAACGACTGAAGGTCATGGGGTTTGAGGTCGCGATTGTCGATTCGCGATTTCCAGCCGTATATGCGATGTGACCCCGACAAAATCAGTAACTTAAAGGAGACTTCGTCCGTTGCCAGTCGCCCAGCACACCAAGAAATCGCTTCGTTTGATAATTTTATGATGGAAGTATCCCCACTTAAAACACTTACAGACGCAGAATCGTTTGCTGCTGGTTGTGGTCAAACCGCCGATTCTGCGAACTTGCGCCATGTGGTCTACTTCTGAGCTATCACAACCACGCATTTCTCTCTTCCAGATTTTGGTCCGAAAATATAATAATTAAGTGTGCGTGCCTAAATGTGTCGACGCCCTACTTTGAGTCTTTTCGGCGCACACCATTTCTTGATTAAGAATGTCCTACGGAGACGTCGACTTAAAACGTAACCTTGCTTTTTTACAGCATTCGTCCTAGTCTTATCGCGCCTGCTACTTTTTTGTTGTCCGAAGTTCTTCAGTGTGTTTTCGGCCTCATTACTAGTCATGTGCGCGTTCGCTAAACTGATTATCGAATCCGACAGTGGAACCAAGTGGAATTCGCACAACTGTCTTCCTTTAGTTACACGTTTTTTTACAACTTACAGCTTGTCCTCAAAGTTCCTCTTTCTTCTTACAGATGGGCCAATTGCTGTCGTATACCCTGACACCCGATAACCCGTTCCCGCGCTCACGGCAGGACTCAACTCTTGCTAATTTCTGTAGCGTCATTCGTCGAAATGTCAGCAGAAGTATTGCAGGTTTGTGTGAGCCACGCATCCACGCGTAAACTCACCTTTTTCGCTTTCCCTAGATTCCTCAGGGACTCCAGAGAAAGATGCCAAATCCCTCAACTTGGCTCATCTGCCTCCGGAGTTGGCCTTCGACATTTTGTCCTACTTAAATGCCACTGACCTCTACCTGGCCGCATGCGTCTGGTGGAATTTGGCCTCTGATGAAGTTCTTTGGCAGGGGTAGGCTCTCGTTTTAAAAAGAGCAGGCCTAACACTACTGGCACAGGCTTTGTCGTGCAACGTGGCCCTACTGTTCAGCTTACAAAACATGGACAGAGCAACCGAATTTCTCCTTCCGCATTCTCTTTTTGCGTCTAGATGAGGCCCGACTTACCTTCAACATAGATGCCTTCGAGGTAGGAGACATGTGAAGGGAAACATATTCCTTATTTTTGTGCAGGGTATTAAGTACTTACAGAAATACGAGATTTTGAGCGACGAAACGGACGACTTGGCAATGTTTTTGCATTCCGCTCCGGGGCTGGATCCAGTTCAGAAGCGACGATTCCTGGAGACAAGGTAATTTTTGTGACATTTTAAGTCTTCCTACTTTCGTTGTCTACACTACACGCATACGCACTCATGGTTTGTAGATAATGTCTAACTTGTATGTTATTTGCGCCATTGATTATGAAAATCAAACATTTGATTGACCTCGCCCCTTGCTTTTCAAAGTCAATCCGACCGGAGGTGAGTGGCTACCGTATCATAAGGTGAGTGTCAAAGGCGTTCCACACATTGACCAGCATCCGACGCATGCGAGAAGTGCCTTAAGAAGCAAGTATTGCATTCCGACCCCCGTGTCGAGGAAGAGACGCTATCTCGTTAGCTGGAAGCTGTCCAAGCAACAACTTTAAGGGCATCCTAGTGGTTCTACACTCGCCAGTTCTGTTGTATGAGGATATGTGACTAATTGCCATAATTGCACCTCAGTAATGGGGCTTAGGCTCACACCTCTCCAATGCATCAGTGGGCGTCGGGGTCTCCGACCGATTGGGGATAAATATATGCGCACTGGACTACTAGCGACCCGATGTGCTTGGCTTCCTAAGGCAAACAAGCCTCGAATAGAGTCATGAGATTCATTAACAGGCCACTACCTACTAAACCTTAAGGTGACCACTGGGTGATCAGCTGAAATCTGGACCTGACCCACTCTTGATACGAATGAAGAAGAGGGTGCTTTTCCCGCGGATACCGCTGTGTGGTCAGTCGCATCGGTTACGCCTATTCGAATGTGAGCCGTCGCATACTCGGCGCTGAAGCCATCTCCAATTATGGATTTAATGTCACTTATCCTCCTCTAGAAAGCCCTGTCAACTGTGGCTGATTATTTTGCTGTAAGTTGGGTCTTTCCTGGAGGTGTTTACTGTCAGATAGGATATAACTAGACTTGTCGAGGGTCTGGGCGGTGTTTCGTGTCTCTTCATCCACTCATGGCGAATATGCGTCCTATTGCGATGTCATCTTCTACAGGCATGGTATTAATAGGAGCACCAACGAATGCAAGGTGGACTGGAATGGATCTTCCCGGTTTGCTAACTTTTGTCCGTTAACCATACCATAATCCAGGTCCAGATTACGCGGGTCGCTGCGCATTAAGCGAAACACCCTGCCATTGAGTCACGGGCCCGTAGTCTTGTTATGATCGGGAATATTAATTTACACAGCAGAGGACCTGGGGCTCGAATTCCTCTTCTTTGGTCACTAGGCGTTATTAAGTCCTGCCCAATTGAGCCACGGGCCAACTGTCCTGTCGGTTGCGATCGAGAGTATTAACCATGGTGGGAGGACGTTCGCCGAACAGGTTACGGGACATGCTTTTCCTGTTGCGCCTTGGGGCTCGATCTAGAGGCCTCTCAGGCAGTCGCATAGAAACCTGCAATGACGACAAAGACAAGGGGTTCGGGGTGGTCATTTCTGGCTCATATTTGCCGTTGTCAGCCAGCCATACTCCGACATCAGATTTAAATAGCTTGGAACTGCCCGAGATGAAGACTATCACCAGATTTAAATGACAAATTCCGTGCGTTTAAATAAACAGAGCCATAGTCAAGGTGACTTTTAGCAGAAATAAAAGGACTTATGCCTTCTTTTGTTACACAGACCGGATGTGCTAGCGGGCCTGATTCGAATCAAAAACTTCCATCAGCAATTCCTTCCAAATGCTCTGCGTGCCCTCTTGACCGAAATACCCACTCCTGAGAAGAATGCCTCCAACTTCATGGCTCAGATAATCCAGGTCTTCTCGGAACACTTTGTTCGGTGTAATCCGAGCATCGGACTTCCCCCTGGTTAGTGATTTGCTTTCTCCACTACCACTTTTCCTTCCTCACTCTTGCTGTCTTTGGTCACCCCCTCCGCCCTCGGGGCCATCAATACTTACTTGGACTTGATACGGCCGCGATCATGCCTGATCTAGCCGACCTCGATGATGTCACGGACTGTACCTCTCCACGCGTGACGATCCGCGGCAGCAGATCTGGACAGCTCAACCCATTCTCTTCGCCAACGACGGAGACCGAATACCGAAGGTCTAAGAACCACCTCCATGTCTTGACGAATTGTGTCGAGCCAAGTTTTGAACTGACCCCCTCATCGACGCCTCCAATGGGGCAACGGTGCCGGATCGAGGGCAGTAACACTGAGCTCCTGTGATGGACGACGAAGAACATGCCCAAGCCATCTCAGCTGTCTTTCTTGGATGGCCGAGTTATCCTTGCGATGTTGTCGCAGCGAGCGCGGACTGTCTCATTTGAGAGGAAGTCGGTGAACTCCACTTGAAGGATGGTCCTCAAGCAGTGGTGATCAAATACCTCCAGTTTTCGCCCGTACTCCACGCGCGAAGCCCAGCATTCACAACTGTAGAGAAGGACAGACCGGACGGATGCGCGGTACACGCGAATCTTAGTGGCGGTGGGGAGGTTACGTCGGTTCCACAGGCATTTCCGAAAGCCTGAGAAAACCCGGCAGGCAACATCAATTCGGAAGACAATTCCTCCTTACTCTGTCCATTAGGCAGAAGCCTAGCTCCGAGGTATTTAATACTGTCTACTTCTTCATTTTGACGGCCATCAATCCCGCCAGATGCATTCTCCTGGTCAGGGATGCAGCTTGAAAACGCTTTAGTCTTCCCAGCGTTTATGGATAAACCGACCGATTTAGCGACCTCGTTCAGCCGTGACACCATAGACTGCAGATCAGTCAGTCAGTGTATTTGAGGGAAATAGGCTTACGCCGTTGAACTGCCTATTTGTACATAAAAATCGATGAATAAGCAAAATGTGAAAAAATTACAGCACTAAGTGAATGCAGACATTGATTCACATATGTTACTGGTCTCATGGCTAAAAAGTCACATAGTCCGCTTGTTGCTGCAGCATATGTCTGTCAAGCCGACATTTAAATGTCGCCACAGATTGAGACACGACAACCGTCTCGGGCAGATTATTCCACGGTTCCACGACACGGTTGGAGAAGAAATATTTTCTCACATTCAATCTACCCTGGGGCACACGTAGTTTGAAGGGATGTTCCCGGAGGTAAGTTGTAGTGGCGAGCTGGAAAAAGTCGTCACACCGAAGGGCACAGTCCAGGCCACGCACTATACGGAAAGTTTGTATCAAGTCTCCGCGCAACTGCCTATAACCCAGAGGATAGAGATTAAGGTTAGTTAGGCGGATCTCGTATTTCAGCGCACCTTTACCTCTTACTAATTTTGTTGCTCGCCTCTGCACCCTTTCGAGCAGATTGTAATCCTGATGCGTGCATGGTCTCCAGGCCTGAATAGCATATTCGAGATGCGGCCTTACAAACGTGCCGAAGACTTTGGAGAAGCAGTCTTCATCGAAAACTGCGAATGTCCGCTTGATGGCATATAGCATTGAAGTTGCGGCCTTGGCCGCCTTACAACATTGTGTAGAAGGCTTTAGGCTGTCTGCAACCCAGACTCCGAGATCTTTCTGCGTTTCTGCTTCTCGAAGTGGCATTCCGTTCAGATGGTATTGCCGCGTACTAGGGGTCTGATTTCCGAGGCGCAGTATGGTACATTTGTTCAAATTGAGGGACAAGAGCCATCTGCGGGACCACTCGTCCAATCGACAAAGAGTTTCTTGGAAGTTGGTCTCATCGGCAGCATTCTGGATGACTTTCCAGATTTTTATGTCATCCGCAAACATGGCACAATCACAGTCCAACCCATCTACACAATCATTGATGAACAAGAGAAAGAGGGTTGGTCCGATCACCGAGCTTTGTGGGACTCCACTCTCTATGAATGTGCGCCTTGATTGCCGTTTTTCTACGCAGACAATTTGGAAGCGACCGACGAGGAAATTATCGATCCATTTGAGAAGTTTGCCGCCGATGCCCATTATTCTCAACTTGTGCAGGAGACGCTGGTGCAGAACACTGTCGAACGCCTTCCGGAAATCAATATAGGCCACATGCACAGGGTGTTTTGCGTCCAGTGCTCTTGTCCAACTTTGCATTGTATATAGCAAGTTCGTTACACATGATCTTCCCCTACGGAAACCATATTGTGCTTTGGACAAGAGGTTGTGGCTTTCCAGATAAACCATCAACTCCTTTTTTATGGTTTTCTCCATCACTTTGCAGCAGATTGATGTCAGACTGAGATCATCAAAACTTGTAGCAAGTAAGACGATATCATCGGCATAGTCGAGATCAGTCAGTCGGTATCCGGGTGCAAACTCAACGCCTTCACCTTCGTGTAGGGCCCTCCCGAAAATCCAGTAAATAGCGTAGTTGAACAGAATGGGTGACAGGATACAACCCTGATCAGAGACATCATCAGAGACAGTGGCAGAAAAGGGTGACTCGTGCACAGGAAATCGCAGTATTTATAGGATGCAGTCGCTATGCTACCGCATACCTATAGCAATTAACCGCCCTCCCCTTCATCAAGGATGGCTGCCCGCTGGTGCGCTAATTGCTTGATGGCCGGCATGACAGTTGTTAATTGCCGAAATGTCATCACCCGGGTTAGATGCTGGCGTGATGATTGCCCGGTCATCTGGCTCACCGGCTTACGCGCTCCCCGAGTGGTCAATTACCTTGGCCAGCCTATGCCTCAGCACGGAATATGGAGTGGGGATATCGGTGCACTTGTTGGTAGACTGAGGTCCCGTGAACCATGACTCAAGCAACTCGCGGCTCACGCGATTATCCCCTCGCGCGAGAATTTCGGCCTCATCGAACTGGAATGTGTGGCTGGGTCTCGTCGAATGGGCCGCGACTTGAGAGATGGCGTCATTTCTCCGTACCCCTGCCACGTGTTCGGCAATTCGCGTTCGGAGCAGTCTTCCAGTTTCTCCGACGTAGTTGCTTTGTCCGCAACTGCACCAGATCCGGTAAACGACTCCAGTTGTTTCTTGCCGTGGCAGTGGGTCTTTTGGTCTCATCACCTGACGCCTTATGGTGGCCTCCGGTCTGTGTGCCACTCCAACCCCAAGTGGTGCAAGAAGGCGGCTAACGGCCTCGGAGACGTTCTTGATGTGCACGAGTCACCCTTTCCTGCTATTGTCTCTGATGATGGATTCAAGTGAGAATCCGAAGCGTCAGGCGAATAAAGTCCTTGTTCCAGCGATCGCTTCTTCTTCTGATCAACTAGTTCCTGGAACTCGCATCTTCTCTTGTATCGGCAAGGATACAATCCTGTCGAACGCCAGACCGAATACCGGACGGTTGGGTAAGATTGTTGCGGTCATAAATGATTGCGCCTAGACAGATCCCTACCTCCCTTCTGCGGAAGGTTTCATCCGAATTCCAATAAGTCACTGTAGACGAGCAGTCGTTTTCAGTCTATCCCTCCATGACCTTTCTGTCTTCTTCTTCCTCCCCCCGCCCAGATGCCGTCTACATCATCTGCTTCTCTCTGATTATGCTCTCGCTGGACTTCTCCTGCCCCCAGATAAAGAACAAAATGTCTAAACGGGAGTTTATCCGCAATACGCGACGCGCTGCGCTGCAGGCCTCCTGTGATGAGTTTTTGGGCAGCCTGTACGACAATGTCTACCTGGAGGGCGTCATTGCGAAGCCATCAGCCGCACCTACTCGCTCCAGGCGCTCCAAGTCTTCACCCACTCACCGTTTCCCCAGTCCGCACCGACCATTTTACGTGTTTCGATGACTTTATCGCCCCCCCCCCTCCTGTCCGCGTTCGGTTGCCACCCTGACCGCACCATATCATCCGATTCCGCTGTCCCCACCTGCGCCCTCGCCTGACTTTCACTCATTTGCGCTCGCCGATCCCTCAGTTTGCTCCTAAGCTACCCACGGCTGGCGTGCCTGGACGTACACTCTTACTTTTTACATTTACTTTATTTTCTGCCATCATGTTTTTTTGCGTGCGTATATGCACTCAACTATCAATGTTCCGCCCGTGTGTGCTTGTCAGTACGTTTGGTTTTACTAGATGCCCCAGATTTATTTGCTGATTAAATCCTAACTTTGCCAATTCCATCCCGATTGGTGGTTCACTTGCGCATTGCCTCTGTGAAATGACTTCAGATTCTTGGTACAGGTATTCGATTCTGCAAGATCTTATTTCGTAGCCGCATCTGTTAGAGGTTACGGGTTGGGGTTAAGTGTTGGGGGTCGGGATTAGGGGTTAGTCTGGGGCCTGTATACTGCAGGTACAGTAGGTGACCGATCTCATGAAATGTTGGCCGAAATTTTGAAATGCGTTGCCAAGTAGGAAGGGTTACTTAAGTGGGGTTGTAGTAATGATTATCCTGTGGCATAATTCTATAATATTTCGGACTCGCCAGGATGTCGACTTTTGAATACACTTCTCTTCGAGCTCCTGCAGGAACCACACGGTAAAATGACTACTTAAGTAGCATGCACTTTCGCATTGATTTTCGATGGTCTTGCATGCACAACTATGCTTTCTACTCATTTGATGGCAACTCACGTTGACTTGTAGATAAGGTATATTTGGGTTTCAAAAAGTTTGTAATTATATGATTTTTAGGACCGTGCAATGTGCATTCATGCGGCATCGCACCTGCCTGTTTACCAAGGTTCCTCCTGAAATGTATAACATAGTCCGCATCCATTGCAAAATTTTATTGACTGTATATGGTATCTTCTTAAAGGCATAGAGAAATAAATGATTTCCCTTACGCAGAAACCGTGCGCCTTGTTGACTGAAATCGCTAGACGCCAAAGCCGATCTGGCTTAAAATTATTCGGGAATTGGAGGACATTTTTAAAGCCTAAATATACCCTGTCTGCAAGCATAAAATGTAGAGGCGACGTGATTTGCCACCAAACGACTGGAAAGAAGGCATATTTTGTGCATGTTTCCTATGACATCTATTTGAATTTGCAAGACCATCGAAAATCAATGCGAAAAGTGCATGCTACTTAAGTAGTCACTTTTTACCATGTGGTTCCTGCTGGAGATCGAAAAGAAGTGCATTCAAGAGTCGACATCCTGGCGAGTCCGAAATATTATAGGATTATGCCATAGGATAATCATCACTACAGCCCTATGCAGAAAATTTCTCTTTTTTTGGGACACACTTCGTAGCAAATTTCGTCTTCTCCAAATTTTCTACCGGAAGAGAGGGGGCATCTTTTTGTCTTTAAAAGTTTATAACTGAGATTTTTTAAGACCGTGAGATGCCCATTCACAGCATCGAACCAGCACGTCTATTAGTGTTTCCTCTAAAGTATGCAACCTGATACGCATCGCGCAATTTTGTGAGTCCTGTATGACATTTTCCTAACGGCCTACAGAAATGTGCCATATTACTTTGATAGAATTTTATATAGCATGGAGTTTGGAAACCCTGAATACAGGTGTACTGACGGATGGAGCAAAAATTATTCGGGAATTGGAAAAGTTCTCAAAATCAGAAATCTACGCTCTCTCCTCAAGTGTAAGATTAGCAGAATACGTGATATGCTACCAGATGAGTACAAATGAGAATGTTTCTGTGCATGTTTTCTACATAGCATATTTGAATTTAGAGGGCATCGAATATCAACGGGGAAATGTCATACTACTTAAGTAGCCACTTCTTGCGGAGTGGGGTATTCGCAGACGGCTGAAAGTAAGCTCATTCAAAAGCCGGTATCCTGGTGGGACTGAAATATCGTAGGATTGTAATATGCTGCCGGACTTATGGTTTCTGTTATGACGGCTTAATGTACGGTTTGTGATCTGACTCATGAAATGTGATGACGAAAATTGACACCTTCAATTTTAACCATCTAAATCGTTGCGTATTTTGCTTATTCACCCAGCCCCTTCAGAAAAACGTCCCTTTCGCACGGAGAATGTGTTAATAGATAATGTCATCAGTCTAAGTGAGTACCAATTTAGGCGGAGGTCTGTGCTGCCTTGTGTTCGGACAGGTCCCTATGCTAAAACGGTCCTAGACTAAGTTTGCATGTCCGTTGTTGTTCTTCTATCAGAGGAGAGTTTTACCCAACGGGACTTACTGCACTTGAAATAGCATTTTCTCCTCACGTAAATAAGATCGAGAAGGGTGTAAACAAGGTTATTTGTAGAAAACTGGACATTCTATCAATTGGTCTAGTTTCCACTACTCCAAAGAGAATAATGAGCTCTTTTGCTGGCAGCAAAAAATATCCTTATTTTGGCAGATGTGACAAAGCCGACCAAACGTTCCAATTTTAACCCCGACTTTACCTTAACAAATGACAAAGTACGCAGACATCCGTCAGTCAATTGCCTTATAGAGTCGTTGTTAGGGGAGCAACTTATTAGAATAAGTTTTCTAATTGATCTAGAGCACATTCATTGTTTTCGGTGATGAGGTTTCATGTCTGGGTAGGTCCACAAATATGATCCAAATGGCCATCTGCACCTACAAGAATGTCAAAGCACTCATTACTTCGGTAAATGCGCCGAGTTTCAAGAAGAAAAATTTCTGAAGGAATTCATGTGGGCAGGCACTCTCACTCGACTTCACTGGTTAAGCCGTCGAACTTAGGCCCTCAATGCCCTGGAGGAGGTGGGCTAAGATATGCACAAGTTAGAAACTGAATGGGCAGAAAATTTTCACTCTTTGCAATATCTTGATATTTATACGACCACCCTGTTGTTCATTTATAATTGCGGAACGGAGTCCTAAGTAAGCACATATAGCAAGATTAGCAACAGTATAAAGTATAAAGAAAGTAGGCTCTTCCTTGAGCGGCAAAACAACTGCCATTATTGTTCCTCAAGGAAGTGAAAAAGCCGACAAAACATCCCAATCCTTATCTTGACATTATTTTGAAAAATGTCAAAGTATGCAGGCCTCCGTCAACGAACTACATTGTTAGATCGCTTTTAAAAGAGGTACCTTATTAGAGGGAGTTTTTCAATTGACTTAGAGCGTATTCATTGCTGACTTCTGCTGTGTACTTTCATTCTTCTCGGCGATGAGATTTCATGTTTGGTCAGGTCTGCATCTGTGACCCACACGACCATCTGTACTAGAAAGAATGTCCAAGCACTTACTTTTTCGGTAAATACTTTTAAGAAATATCTTATTTTGAAGGTTTTGTTAAACACATAATACAGAATATGCCTTCATAGGCAATCGATTGGAAACAGTGAAATTACCGAACTATTCACTGACGTTTCAAGGACTATTTGAAACTCAGCTTACTGCAGCGCAGTAAAAAAAGAAATTCGACAGAAGGGAAGCTCTCTTAATCTACACAAAATGCCATTTTTGATGATTGGACCTGTCAATTCTATTAAAATTTACTAGTCGCTGACGGGGTTGTCACCATGTGACCTTGCGAAAACATTTATTCCCCGACGTCCCTATGGGCGAAATCAGGCGAATTCCCGGTTACCTTAGTCAACCACATCTTGAACAATGCACAAGCGGATGAAATGCAGCCAATTCTCATGAAACCGTTTTGGAATCTGTGCTCGAAATGTAGACTTAGTTAACTTCAATACTTCAAAATACCCAGCTACCTAAAAGATATTTAAGTGTGAACTTCACTGAAAGGCTATTTTCAAATTTCACTCTACCTATGCTCTTTTATTTTCTCAGTTCTTTGCATAGACAGGCCTTCCGCACACCTCAAACTTAAGTTTGCTCAGCTTCAACGGTTTTTGATTTTTTCGGAATTCCGGCTCTCCAAAATTTTTTTTATTTCTAAACAATATAATAGCACTATTAATATTTCTTTGTGCTCTCATTTATCCGAAATCGTTAATTATCAATTGGGGATGCTGATATAAGCACTTAGACCGGTTTCCGAATGATAAGAGATGTTTTGTACATTTAGGTACATTTCATGAGTTGGCCAATTTACTGTATACACAGGAAGTGGCACATATGGACTTGGCTGGCTTCAAAGAGTAAACAGTCGCGATTACCGGGTGATCGCCATCCAGGGCGGTAGTAGACCACCCGCTGTTCGAATGGTGTGGACCGCCCATTGCCCAAACAGAGAAAGAGGAGGACTTCCACCCGTGTGAAGGATTGTAGTGGGAGGGACTAGTCCAGCATTTACTGCTCTCTCTTTTTTTTTTTTTCTCTCTCTCTCTCTCTCTCTCTCTCTCTCTCTCTCTCTCTCTCTCTCTCTCACCTCCTGTGAGTTCCAGTAGCAAAACAAGATGAGGAAGGTGGGCACTGGGTAAACGACATAGGGCCTCCGTCCAACAGCCGTCCAAGAGCTGTCTGGCTGCCCTTTCCGCCCCAACGCAGTACACTTTTTCGCTCTCAGCGGGCATGTGAACGCGCACACACGCACCCACTGGGTCAGTGGCACTCCCGGAACGAAGATGCAGTCCTCTCTCTTTCTCTGTCTCTGTCTCTCTCTCTCTCTCGACCGCATATTAAATACTGTCGAGTGCTGAGTCTAGGTTTTTGCCAGGTCGTGTGTGTTGCTCAGTTAGGTGGCTGGAGGAGCAACGGATGAATAAGCGTTGCACGACTTTTTCGGTCCCCCGTCTTCGTTATTCTGCCCCGCGTCCCCTCGAATGCACTGTTTGTTTCCTGTTTTTAGAATTGGCAGGTAGTGTGGACTTGTGTACGTTACGCGGTTGCATTTTGACGCAGAAAGTGCACCCCGCGTGAAGATAATACGGTAAGATGTGGTTATGTAGCGGCACCTGATGGACACAGTGCTGTTGACCTACTTAAT